GCACACAGGAGCTGAGTTCATTGATATTTTTATATAATGTATCTGTCTTACAGACATATACTAAGAACTTACTAAACATTTAAAGATTCACCCATTTTTTTCCTGACATTATTAAACAGACGTCCTGTTTAAGAAAATAGTAGGCTTATTTAGTAACACACTCTAAGTATGTTAACATAAGGTTATAGCCATATTTCTGCGATGCTTTTTTTGGCATCCTCTAGTCTGGTTGAACGCTCAACCAGCCTTTCTGGATTTCAAGACTGACTCATTTTTCCTGCGTTTTTATGCTTTATCCACTCAACAAAATGAAGGACATGCTTATTCACTGCTGTAAGAGATAGTTGTTCTATGATGACTCAGAATTATAGGCTTGAGTCATAACGGTTAAGAAAAGGTTATAATCCTTTTCATCCCGGTCATGAGGAAAAGTGTAGATGTTGAAGAAGAAGTGACCTGAGGACACGCCCTTGAGGAACCACTAGTAGTTTTCTCGCATTTTAAACTCTTTTCTAGTCCACAAATCAGTGTTACTAACAATTGCAAATTGTTAGCAAGATTTATTGGGTAAAACTGATTCTCGATTGCTGTTTGAGGTTTGCTGTCGGAAGAAAATGTCTCCATCCAGCGCCTGTGACTTCAGGTCTATGTGATTAATCTGCTGAAGTAGAATAACGGCTCCTGTCCAGAAAACATACAGATGGGTTTTCATTCTGTGAGCTCAAGCAGGCGCAAACCCCCGGCCTGCAGTGCCTTTTGTTGTTTCAGCAGGTTGTGATTTAAGGCTGAACATGATGTCACCCCCATCATCATGGTGGCTAAATTGCCCCTCCGTTCACGTTGGCGCTGTTAGTAATGGCGTGTGACGAAGGTTATATTGCCGTAGACTGAGACAGGTTCTGATTTCCCACTCTCCCGTCTTCCTTCGTGTCGTTGAACTAAGATCCAAGACAAGGATCTAACATGGAGAACTGCATGTGTTTGCAGTTACTTTTTTTTTTTTTTTTTTGGAATTGACCTCTTTGCAATTGAGATGATTCTTATGTATTTTCCAAAGTGTTATCACACAAGATCACGGGTCCCTCGGCTGCAATAATGGCTTGTTTTGGACTAAAAAGAAAAGCAGCTTGGTGAGCCGAAGCGGCAGAAATGAACTGAATTTGAACTAAGAAAGCAAAGACTTCCAGCTGGGCAGATGTTAATATTTCACCGAGTCCATAAATACAAACAGTGTCTTGCAAAAGTATTAACATCATTTGAACTTTGCCGTATTTTCTTACAGTCAACAGTCTGGAGCTCAGTCTGATTGGAGAGAATCTGTCAAGCGTTGACACATGTTCTCAATTGGATTTAGGTCTGGACTTTGACTATGCCACTCTAAAAATATGAATGTGCTTTAAACGTCACTATTCATTTCTAGCGCTGCTTAGATTTATAGTGCTTAAAAGTGAACACTTATCCAACTCTGAAGTCTGCTAGGGCTGCCCAGATTTTTTTTTCTTTTGATTGTTTTTATAATTTTTTCCTCCATTTCACAATAATGCACCATTTTACGTTGGTCTATTATACACAATTCCAATAAAATGCTTCACAGTTTGTGGTCGTAATGCGATAGACTGTGAAAGTTTAAAGGGAACCTATTTAGCAAAATTCACATTTTGTATATTTGATCTGATCTACTACTTCTAAAAACACCTCAAGATGTTCTTTTTTTGGCAATAATTAAATATTTCTTGGTGTCCTGAAAACCTCTCGATTGCTAAGTCACAACTGACTGGCACCGCGTCGTTACCTAGGAACCTAAGTGAAGCTCCTGCTGGTTTTACCGCTATACAATGGCTGCTGGAAAAGACAAGTGTTTTGTTTTTGACTTGCTGCATTCTTGTTGGTTGTGCAGGAGGCTCTACTTCTGTTTTTCAAAGGGACTTAGTAGTATGTTTGTAGCCATTCTCACATACAACTGTAAATGTTGATTTGGGGGCGTGGCTAGCAGCAGCTAATTTAGATTTAAAGTGACAAGATGCCCTAAAACAACTCATTCTGAATGCAGCTCAAAGCAGACAGACCTGAAGAATGATGATGTTAAAAAGAAAAAAAAATGTAATGAACATGTTTTGTATAACCTGTCCAAGGACATGCAGTAGGTCACCTGTGAGGAATATTAATGCTGCTGTAAGGCGCTCTCACAACTTAACCTTTAAACAGTCTGTTGTTAACATGTACGGTTCCTGCTCTCAGACGTTGTTTGTCTTCATTTATTTCCGAGGATGCAGTCGTGTTTTTATGATCAGACGGGCTCTGTAGACGTGGCCGCCATGTTTACACAGATTAACAGCCTGCAGCCAGTGAGCTGGTTAATCAGACCACTTACACAGACTCCCTCTCTGCCTCCCAATCAAACCCCAGGCTGGCCCTCTGCTTGTCAAGCTAAAAGTGTCCTGTGGTTTACATGACACGGGCCAAACCGCAGTCATTTCTAAATCTGAATAACTGAAATGCTCCTTTTTTTTTCTTTTTTTTTTTTTTTTTGAACACACGTCCTTATTGCTTCACTAACCCTGGTGTTTAGCATTTAAAGACCTAATTGCAGTGAGCACAATCCATCCGTCGCATCAGACGGACTGAGCTGTGGTCGTGAATTTACGGCAGCGCAGCGAGCGGGCGGGACGGCTTTACATGAACACGCAGGAATTTATGAACGCCTCGACCTCGGCTGAACTGCTCAGGGTGGAGCAGCTCGAAGTTGCCTTTGGCTGAGCTTTTGGATTTCTCCACATGTTGAAGTGATAAACAAGCGTAATAAAAATTAAAAAAAACAACTCCTCTTGGAATTTGAAGACTATTTATGGCATGTGTGTTTTTATAAACCGCTTCAGATAAAAAAACACAGCAAGAAAACGTCAATAAACAGAGCAGTGGCTGTATAACATTGAAACCAGTTGCATAATTTTAATAGTAGCCCTACAAAACCCCAAAGAAAGGGAACTTCTTGTTTTCAGCTTGACATTTCAATGGTTTTCAGGTGGTCTCTGCGTGCATAAACGGACCTCACCGGCTCAGAAGATTGGAAGCTGCGTCCACATGTTGCTTTGTTCACGCTCTGGCCACCTTTCAGTGGTTTTATGGGAGAGCTGGGTGGAAAATCTCCGTAGGAAACACAGGAGTTTACCGCTACGTTTGGAACATCTCTGGAAAACTTCAGATCTGCAGAATATAACTGGAAACAGCAACGACAGCTGAATTATGAAGGCTCTACCTTTCAATTGGTAGAGCCTTTCATGGCTTTACCAATGGTCAATGAATGGTGAAGCATTGACCATATAATTACGCAAACTGGGATTATGGAAAAAAATTCACTCAATGAAAAGACGTCAATTAAAAAAAAATCATGTTTTTCAATAAAATGTTGGTATTGAAATTGGTTTATTTTGCAAAACTGCAATGGAGACACTATTTTTGCATCGAAAAAAGTGTCTCCATTGCCTGATCAAAAACAGGGTGTTAGTAATGGCGGAAAAGACGAAGAAGACGACAGGAAGTGGTTGGAGGATAATGACGTGGCATGTTTTTAACGACTTATCGCGTAAACATATGTATTCACGCGTGATTTCGATTGCGTTTCTTATTTAATGTAAAAGCCACGATTGTGAAACTGTGCGGAATGCAGACTTAAGTTTTGTGGATGTTTGTAATGGAAACACAGCTACTCAGAAATAGATATGAAGGCTCCACCTTCCCGCTGAAAAAAGTAGCAGTACGAAAATAATCTAGCTTTACAGAAACACGTCATTTTTGAAGAAACTCACATTTGTTTGATAAAACGGTTTTGTGCTAGAATGAGGCGGTTTTTCAGCCACATTTAAATAGATGTATTTCAAAAAAGCATCACACGAGTCAGGTGACCAACAACTGGATGTGGAACGTGGTATTTTTTCCTAGGCACGGACAATCTGGTTCAGGTTGACGTCAACAACCTCAAACATGTAGCCAATGGTCCAATGGAAGAGCTTAGATCAAAATAAATTATTGGTTGACCCAGAATGGCCAAGTCAAAGTTCAGACGTAAATCCAGTCGAGAATCTCTGCGGTTCAATCTGACTGAGCGCTAGCTATTTCAACTTTTTCAAAAAAGTTCAGTGGCTAATTGTGCAAAGTTGGTAGAAAAATACACCAAGAGTCTTTCAGATATAATTGTAATGAACGCAACTCTAAGAATATTTGAAAACCACATGCACTAGTAGGCCTGTCACCGTAACAAATTCTTCTGGATGAATTGTCCCAGAAATTATTTTGATGAACAATAATATTGTTTTTTTAAAAACAATTTTGAAGTAGTATAATAGTAATGGTATAAATAATGCAAGAACACATGATCAAAGATCAATAAAATTTAAATTCCTACAAACATTTATCAATGGAATATCCAAAATAGATATACAAAACAATAGAAACAATAGATAAAATGATTTATGAAGTCTCTGTAAACAAAATTGTCATTTTTAAAAAGAAAAAAAAAAGAGGCTAGTTGAGACTGATTTACTGCTTGTTGTGACAAGTGTACGCTCTGCTTTTTGCCATGTAAAATCTCTAAAAACATTTCACTTTGTGGCCGTTGTGTAAAAAATGAAAAAGTCCCAGGAGTTTGACTGCTTTTGTTTTAGGCACCGTATGGATCAGTTATGGACTCTAAGTGGCGTTAATGTGTGAAGTTTTTAGTTTTACTTTGAGGTTGACTAGACTTTAAAACGGCTTCTGAACCCTGAAAACGGCACAAACCCGTTACGTTTTCCACAGTCAGCCCCCCACGCTTTACATGAGACATGACTCACTAAACCTGGAACGTTCAGACGTTTGGTCAAACCTGAACCTGATGTGTTGTGAACGGACCTGCCTTCTCGCCGCGTTGCTGCACTTTTTCTCCTTTTGATCGTTCTGTTTTCAATGCAAAACTGCTATTACCATTTGTTAAAGTCAGGCTTTCTGTCTTTGTTTTCCTCCAGGTCAGTCTGCCAAACGACTCCAGCTGCGTTGAAGAGATTTTGCGGGTATGTTTCCTGGACACACACACACACACGCACGCACACACACACTCTCTCTCTCTCCTATACGCACAGGGTAATTGCGCTGATTATCAGCTGTTTTCTGTTTGCTCTGAAAGACTTTGGTTCTTCTCCAGAGAATTTGATCGTAGGAAGAAATGACAGAATGAAGCGAGAGAATGAGAAACAGAAGGGCTGGAACACAAAGGATGGGAAAAGGAAAAAGAGATACTTTGGCTCAGGTCCATGATTATAGTTTTTTTTTTTGTTTGTTTTCTGTTAGATGATGTCAGGCAGAAATCTTTTCCATCATTTTTCCTCCATCCGTGTTTAGCAGAATTTCTCCAAACAACTGGTTTTTTGTTGTTGTTCTTTTTCCCACAGTTTTCCCCCTCCTGTCTTTCTGTTCTGCTCTGAATGATGTCAAAACAGATGTTTTCCCCGACAATCTTCCCTCCTCTGTCAGCAGCCCCGTCGACGAGGACGCAATCGGACGGCTCAGTTAGCTCCTAAGCGCATTCCCTCCTCTTCCTGTCTGTCTCCCTCCGCTTCTCCCTCCCTGCCTCTGTCGTTCGCCGCCCTCTCCCTTTCACAAATCAATATGCCGGTCAACAGGCTTTGTGACAGACTATCTGCTGTGAGCCGCATGAAAGGCCTCTGTCAATAATATCGGTGCGCCACTGAATCCGGCCTGTGATGTTTAGTCGTGTCAAGTGGAAAGATCAGGGCATTCAGAATGTGAGGCGGGGTGAATCGGCCCGCTCCCGCTCCTGCTCCTTCCAGTCAGCTGTCAGGGAAACGTGGCAGATTCACATGCGGGGCAGCGGAGTCTAACGGTGAGGCGGTAAAGAGATGTAAAGCAAAACATGGCGCAGCATTTGCTGTACCGACTGCCAGAACCGATGGCTTTGTCAGTCTGTTAAAGTGACGGTTCTGTTCTGCGTAAACAAAAGCCCGAGTGGTCGTGGTGGATTTGTGTGTCGTGCTGTCATGACTCCTCGTATTGAGCTGCGTGTGCTGTGGCTGAACACACTGTTCTCAGAGCATCGACTGTTTGCGTTTGCTAAGAGACTACTGTGGCCCAGAAGGGTCAAAGGGATGCAAACGCCACAACGCAACAACAGAAAACCGCAAGGCAACAGCAAAAGTCACAACACGCAACTTCAAATGTTACAACGCAGCAATAAAAAGCCACAAGGCAACAGCAAAAAGGCACATCACAACAACAGAGGTTATCATAGTTTATCGGCGCAAACGATGCAACAAATGATACAACATAACAATAAGAAGACGTGAAGCAACAGGAAAGAGACACAACGCAACAGCAGAAGGTGTGAAAGCAACAGCAACAAGTCGCAACGCAACATGAAAGGGACAACACAACTACAGAGGACACAAGGCAACGACAAGAAGTCACAACGCAACAGCAGGAAGTTATAAAGCAAGAGTAAAAAAAAACATTTTTTAGTTTTGTTTACCTTTCTGCTACAGTAAGAAACAAACCACTGAACTATTTAGTTTGAGTCCTGAATATTTAGGTTTTTTTGAAAGATCGACCTAAAAACAACTAAATAAGTTGCTGGCAGGACCTCAAGCTGCATAAGGAAAATGACATCATAATTAAAAAATCACTGCAAAAGAGGCAAAAACCAAATGACCAGAGAGAGGAGTCGAGTGTTTTGGTCTGAACTGTCAGAAGTCAACACGAGGAAATGTCAACTGTCCGTCTGTCGTCTTCCTTTCTTATGTCGGATCTGGTCACAGAGTAACAGGTCCAAAAGAGAAATCCCTCTCCACCTCATTATCGGACATCCTGAGGCTTTCCAACAGTCAGAGCCATAAATACTCTCTCCAACTACTTCTGGGTGTTCTTCTGCAGGGTTTCTTTCCAGTGGGACGTGCCCGGAAAATCTCTAAATGGAGTTATCCAGGAGGCATTTGATCAGCTGTCCAAACCGCCCCGACTTAATTATTTCAGCATGATGCCTCAGGCTGCGTCCAGCCGCCATACGTACCCAGCTAATTCCAGCTGCTTGCAGTCAGGATCCAGCTCTTTCAGCCACGGTCCACATCTAACAGCCACAGGTGAGGGTCAGAGCATAAACGGGTCGGGAAAATGAGAACTTTAACGGCCCATCTCTTTCCTCGCCGCCCGCAGCAGCGCCTCATTTTAGCAGTTAAGGACTCTCTAAATCCGTCCGTCTGTCTCTCGCCACTGCTTCATTTTCACCATCAATTTTAAACAAGACGGTAATCCCAACTCATCTACTCGAGGAAGGATTTGACCTTTGACTGAAGGCTACTTCACACTTGGCAACGAAGCGCTTGAGTTCACACTGGAGGTCGTGGCCTTGAGACCCCAACAGAACGGAGCTGCGCCGTATATCAAAACGCAATCAGCAGCACAAGATCGATGTTTCAAATGTCACAAAAGGAGCACTTGAACGCAACATTTTTCTAAGCTACCAGGCTGGACGTTTCCTGCGTTCATGCTGCAGTACAATTGGCCATTTGCATCTTCTTTTGCTGAACTTGATGCCAACACCTGATACAGATTTTAATGGGCATCGTGAAAATGGAAGAGAAAGCGAATAGTGACAATATAGGCATTGGTTATGATATTGAAATACAAAATCACAGCAGTCCTTAGCTGCCAGTTTGTATGTGTCGCTGTGTCTTTCATACATCAGCAACAGTTATGATTTGTATTTTTTTTAAAAGACCCCCAAAAAACACAAATGTTGTAAAAAAAAAAACTTAATTTATGTCGTCTAGAACAAAAAATGGCATCTAAACTGTTTTTTTTAGGTTGACAGAAATGGGCTTAGTGATTGATTTGGTGATAATGATGTGATTTATCTTTAAACAGACGTGGGCAGTGTTAAACAAAGTTTACTTGAGTTCTACTGTTAATGCAGACGTGCTTGTTGCTTTAAAGATTCGATTAATATTTTACCAGACCAGAGTGTTTTGCTATGAACATTTTTTTCCACATAGAAAAGTAGTGATTTCCTTTATTTTTTTCTTACCGTCAGTTTTCCGTATACAATAGCGTTGAATGAAAGCAGTTCAAAAGCTTCTTTATTCCATAATTAAAGTGTAACATTCAAACACCCGATCTTTCTGTGCGTTCCCAGAGACAGGCGCTGTGAAACTGAAAGCAGTGCTGAAGTGTTGCCTCCACTAATACTTTGACATTGTAGTCACACACTTTGGATGGAACTGTTATTAATATGATAAATTAGATCAGTATAAAACCTCATAAACTCCGCGCTTCAACAAGCCGGCCTGTCTGAGTCCTTTTGAAAGTGATTTTTAATGACCGTTCATCGCGTCCTTGTGAGGTTTTAGTTGACTTTTGGCGAAAAGTAATCACAGTGTACACTCAGACATTAAAGCAACTCGTTCAGCTGGAGTCAGATTAGTAGCAGCGAGTTGCATATGTGCAACTTTTGTCTGTATTTTGTATAAGTGCTTATTGTTTAGGACTTACACTCAGCAATGCTTTCTGGAATCCACCATTAACAAAAAAACATAGAAATCTTAGACCATAGAAATCTTTCAAATATATGTCAGATGACAAATTTAGCATACACATAATTGATTACAGTTCATACAAAACGTTGATAAATTTAAAAAATATCCAATAATTTACCATTTCAATTATTCACATATCTTCATGTTTCTGTCTTGTTTCATGTTCTGGTTCAACATAAGCAGCAGTATCAGGTGTTTACAATGCAAATGCATATTTGAAAGGCATGTTAACACGTATCACATTGGAACCACAAGCTTGAATATTTTAGATTGAAATCGTACATGTGAAAACCAGTCTACCAGTTTCCAAGCATCCGAGCTTCTCCTCCACTTGGCTCCTTCAGACTAGCCAGCAACAATTAGCAAACACCTGGTGAAACTGCACATTTCGTTAAAGGAGCTACTTCTCAGTGAAACGCTGGTAAAAAACAACAACAAAAAAACAAAAACATTAAGGGGTTAATAGAGGAGCCATGTTGTGATGACTTCCTGAGTTTCAGAAAGAGCAGGAACTTCTTAAAGAGACAGCGACCCAATTTTCAAAGAGTTAAATTACGGCTTGAAAATTATATTTGATGTAAATATAATTTTTTTATGTTACAACTGAAGGTAACGTAGTTACTTGATTGTGCTGTAAAATAGCATTATGTGGCTGGAGAGCACATAAAACCGCCCCTTTAATTTGTTAAAATGATGAGCTCATTTATTTTGGCCGCATGGAATGGAACTTTGCAAAATGTGAGAAACTGTAACAGCACAAACGCATTTTTAACATGGGAGAATAAATAAGCACCTTCTGTGATTAAACATTGTAGGTGATATTTGGCAAACAGATAACAGCCTGAATGTTACGCTCCCTCAGTCATGTACTGCTTTCAATATGACATTTACACACTGTCTCTCTCTCTCTCACACACACACACACGCAAATATGTTCAGGCGAAATCAGGGGTGCTGTCTGTCAAAGCGCAGGAAGTCTTCAAGGAAGGACAAAATGATGTCAGAAAGTGGGGCTGTTGCTTAGCAACCCGCCGTATTTCGTCAGGGTAGCGTAACAATTCTGTAAAGAGGGGAAAACACACCCAACACATCTGCCGATGCATTCTGGAGGACCTTCAGAAATGTTGAGCTGTTTCATGCTCTGAGCTACATACACACACGCGCGTGCGCACACATACACACACACGCATCTTCCTCACACATATGAACACATGCGTCATCGGATGAATATGACTCATGTCCTCCAAAGGGGAGAATCAATGTATGATGGGAAATCAGTCTTTTTGGCCCAGTGACCTGCTGTAAGGAAGTTGAGTATGAACAGATTGACTGTCAGAGAGAAAAGGAAAAAAAAAAAAGCGACCCTTGTTTTGTGGGAGGGGCTCAGACTGCCGTCCAATAGGAAGACGGTTCCGGGTTCAGATCCCAGACAGAACCTTTCTCTGCAGAGTTTTATGTTCTACTGGTGCGTCGGTGGTTTTTCACTGGGTACTCTGAATTCCTCCACAACAAAATCATGTGTTTTAGACTAGATAAATGTGATATTTTTAACTGTCTGAGTGAATATTAGTCAATATTTCTGTGTTAGCCTTTTGATAGACTGACAACCAATAACCTCCAGCAGGTTTGCATAAAGGGATGATGTAAACTGATGGTCAAATTGTCCTGAATTATGACATAGCAACACACTTGAAAACCAATCACATCTGTGTGTGTGTTTATTTAAATGAACATTTTACCAATTTAATTTTACTCCTTGATGTGTGACTACAAACATCAATGTATGTTTTTCCAGTACAAATATGGAATATTGCCAAAATGTTGGCAACATCCTGCTTAATTAGGTCTGGACCATATAATGTATCACGGTACATGTTTCATATCAGTCAGTATCAATAATTATTGATTTCATTTTTGTTTTAAATATCTGAAATATTACCAAACTGGTACTTGTTTTATCCGCAGTTTTCACTCCACTGCGTTGTTTTCATTTTTAACCAGTTATGAGGCACAATGGCGAAAGCTGAAACTGCTGCTGCGCAAGTTTACTCGTCAGGTTGTTGCTAGGCAACCAGAGTTAGGTTAGAGTTAGTTGATGCCACCAACCTTTCTTAGCTAGCCGTGAGAGGTTGAGCGACTAAAGCCTTTCGTCCGTCTACATCTCCCAGAATGCTGCGCGGTTCTGGATCGGACTTCAGTGATTAATCTATATATTTAATATTCAATATTCTACCAGATGTATTATCTATTGATATAGATCACTTGTCCATTGCAACATGTACTGATGTTGATTTATTGTCCAGTCCTACCGCTAATGTCAAAAAGAAACACAGTTTTCCAATTCTAGTGTTTCTGTTAAACAGGAAATGGAATTAAAATCACATGAATAAGCCTGTTCATGCAGTGAGTCATTAAAACTCATAAAAAGTGTTTTTTTTTTCCAAACTTGGAACAAAAGGTGAATGAATGCTCTCTCTACCACGTAATCATGCCACTACTTGCTGTTTGTCTTTATTAAAGACATTAAAGTCTGTGCTTTGTCAAAATCTGACCAAGTTTAAGAGGTACGAATTCTTTTACGAAACACGGTTCAGTAGAAATAACTGAAAAGCTGCAGCTTCTGTGCTGCGTTGTTGTCATGCAGCCAGACGGAGTCAGCCTTTTATTTTTTTGTAATTTAACAACTCTGCACTTAGCCGACTCTCGGTACACCGATCCCCGTGTGTATCACAACCCTCCCTGTGCAACCCAGCATTTATTCTATAAGCAATAATGAGGGTCCGCTCTGAAAGGGGGGGGAGAGGCGGGGCAGCGCGCAACCTTGATTGAACGCTGACTCCACTCCTCTGCTCCAAAGAGGCTGCTCAAGCAGTCCTCCTGCCGATGTTTTTGCTAAAGTTTAGCCGTGATCATTGCTCTTCAGACGCACGCAGAGCAGGACCAGATTTATTTCCTTCATTTGTCTGAATGTAAGAACCAAAAAAAAAACAACAACAACAAACGCCTACGTTCTGCCACTTCTCAGTAATTGTTAATGGTGACGTAATAAAAGATGTGTGTGTGTGTGTGTGTGTGTGTGTGTGTGTGTGTGTGTGTGTGTGTGTGTGTGTGTGTGTGTGTGTGTGTGTGTGTGTGTGTGTGTGTGTGCGCTCAGGAGATGACCCATTCATGGCCTCCTCCGCTCACAGCCATACACACGCCCGGGAAAGCCGACCAGACCAAGTTCCCCATCCCAAACAAGGTGAGCACACACTTTGCAAACGTAAGAAAAATTCCCTTTCTTCAAGTATGTTAAGGTTTTTTTTTAGTGCAAGCATCTTAGCACACTTGAAGTAAGACCAAACTAACGTACAAATAACTTTTCAGAAAGATATAGGAGCTTGTTTTAAGTAAATAATTCCTTACTATTGATGAAAAGTGGCAGATTGTTAGAACAGCCAGACTCAGAAATAGTTGTCTCCCACTTATTGCTCAACAATCCCACCACCAAGATTGTCTGAGACGGCTTGAAAATACTAAGTTAAATATATTTAATAATGCATTATTATTTGTACGTTATGTAACTATAGGTAAAGTTGTGTTTTAGTGTGTGCTCCGGTGGCCAAGTGATGACATTTCATTGTGCAATGACAATATTAATAAGTCTAAGTCTGTAAAACTTGAAAAATGTCTTGTTACATGTGAAATAATCTGCCATTGGAACTGGTATATTTTCATCATTATTAACGAATTATTGACTTGACACTTGAAAAGTTACTTTATTTTCTTATTTCAAGATGTTTGTACTAGAAAATTGACCAAAAATACTTGCTGAGATTTTGTGTTTTTGCAGTGTGTAGCTATAGGTGTTAATGGACTCTTTTAAGTCATTTACAAATGTTCCAGTTGTAAAAAAAAAAAAAAAAAAAAAGTCAAAACCAGGATTAATTTTCCTACTTTAAGCTCGGTTGTAAAGCAGCAGTTTATTGTCGCTTTTCATTCTGATTTAGCTTCAACTTACTCGTGCTTTCAAGCACAAAGAGCTGTGGTGGAAGAATGATTCGATGGAGATGCATGCCGCGGTCAAGGGTAAAGAAGGAAAACGTGCAAAGAAACAGAGCGAGCTGATAACGCTGACGATCTTAGAGGAGACAGCAGCAAAAACGAACAATGAAACTCTAAGAAAAAAATGAGAATTGTCCGTAGACATTTCTCATTTTGCACTCAGAGCAGCACAAAAAGTAAAGTCGCTTAACACTGGATGCAGATTGATCTATGTGAGCCACCCAGCATGATGCTCTTAGATAGCAGAAAAGGTGAAAACCCTCCTTCAGCGTAAAGGCTAACATGGTGTCTTATTTTCTTTTCTTGCACAAAAGGTTTAGTTTTGCTGTCTTTTGCATCACAGAAAATGAAACATTTTTGGCCTCCAATCACAACTTATATGCCAGTGACACGTCACCATGGTGATCCTACCGTGAGCACTCTCGTTAAAAAAGAAAAAGAAAAAAATAGTTTCAACTAGCTCAACAAATACAGTAGTCCCATTTTTTTATTGTTGTCGTTAGAAATGGATGTCACTCTGAAATCCAAAAGTGAAAAAGAGTTTTGTGCTTTTGCCTGATTGAACAGTAAGGCACCCGTTTGGCAAATTCCATTTAAAAAAAACGTAAATATAACAAAACTCATTCATTAAACTCATTTTTTCTGTTTTTTTTTCTCTCCTCTCTCCCATTTGGCCAGGAGACCCAGCATGTGACCTCAGCCTACAACACCCAGAGTAAGTCTATCAGACTGTAAACACAGCAGCTGAAGTTACGACTGACGTTGTGGTTTCTATGACGATAACGACATTCAGCATATATGTAAGGAAGCGGTTTGGACTGATGATCACTAAAAGTTTGATAGAGCGTTCATGCGATTGATGTGAAAGTTACATACGTGTGAACTTATATCATAAAGTGCGATGTTTTATCTTTAGGTTTTTCTGTGTATTATGCAAAACAGAAACAATATTTTTGTAAAAGCTGACAAAGGGTTCACAATCTAAATATGTAAATATTTCACAGTGGGATCAGTTGAGATTGTTATGTAACAAATACAGATTCATAAAAAAAAAATGGAGGAGTTTGATGTGAAGGAACATGAGTGACCTGAACCAGACCTTCTCACCCAACATCAGGAGTTTATGCTTTCATTTAGAGGAAATCCTCCATTTTATGTCTGGTTATGTAAATTGCGCCACCTGAGTGAAGTTGCCTCCCACCTTCTCCATCCTCCATCATACTGAACAAAATTAGTGTCAAACGTTTGTGCAGCAAAAATCTTTTATTTGTGCTGCTGTCATTTTAAAGATATTGATAAATGTCCCCAGAGGTCATCAAAGGTCAACCAGCCAGTCCACATTTTCAAAACCAAGCAAAATTGTCAATGTCAATCAACTGTGATACTAAAAAGGTTTAGCCGCACAAATATAGCAAAATTAATTCACATCAGTTTTGTTCTTTGTCGATATGAGCAGATAGGACAGGTTGACCTCTGATGACCTCTGGAAACTTTTTATTTAAAGTCTTAAAAATTATATCGGCACAAGTGCAAAAGCGGCACAAAATAAGTTGCATCATATTTTGTCTGATTTTCCAAATCTGGACTGGCTGATTGACCTTTGATGACCTCTGGAAACATTTATTAATATCTTTAAAATTATAGCGGCTCAAATGAAATCTTAGCTACACAAACGCAGCAAAATGTATTTATATCAATTTTGTTTGACTGTTAATGTGGGAGGATGGGAAGCCTGGTTAACCTTTGATAACCTATGGAAACTTTTTTATGTACGTATTAAAAAGTAGAATGGCACAAACAAATTTTTCCTGCACAAAAGTAGCACAAGTCGATTGACACCATATTTCACTTGATTTTGTAAATGTGAGCTGACTGGTTGATCTTAACAATGATGGTAACAAATCTCAGTGTCTTTAAAAGGATAGTGGCACAAACAAAAAAATTTGCTGCACAAACAGCAAAATTAATTTAAATAATTTCTCATTTTTTATTTTGTCAGTGTAGCACTGGGAAAGGCAGGTTGACCTCTGGTGACCTCTGATTTTTTTTTTTCTTAGAAATTCTAGCACCACAAACAAAAGCGTTTTGCAGCACAAAAGTAGCACAAATTGATTGACACCATGTTTCTTTGAATTTTTTTTGTAAACATGGTCTGGCTGGTTGACCTCTCATGACCTCTGGAAACATTTATTAATGCCTTTAAAATGATAGCAACACAAACCAAAATTTTTGCAACACAAACGTTTGACAACCAAATTCAAAGTCCAGTGCTGCTGGCGACAAGCGGAGCAGACAGCGTGAAAACTTTTTGTGATGCAGTAGAACAACGGGAGGTAAAATTCTCCCTGCTGCAGTGAAAATCGACACAGAGCGCCACGCAACATCCTAAAACTTTGACTATTGACTTCTTTCAGATCCCCCAGGCCCTCACCTGCATATGTGCAGCAATTTTAACAAAACTCTTCCTCAAGTGCTTTTCAGAGGTTGCTGATTTAAAAAATTTTTTTTTTTACATTAAAGCCCGACTTAAGCGCTTTGAGATGTTTGCTGGGCGCCAGTGAAGCCCAACAGTTCCCGCCTTGCCTTTTCTGTCAGGAAGTGAAACTGCTGAGCAAAACAGGAATTCAAAGGACTTGGTTCCAAGGAAAAAAAAAAAAGAAACTGTCTGAACAGTTACTAGGAGAAATAAATAATCTAGTCAGGTTTTATTGCAAAAATAAATAAAATGAGTGCTGTGCTCTTCAAAACCTGGCAACGCAAACAGACTGTGGCAGAGTCATTGTCCAGGGGTAACAATGCTACAAGACTCCTGTTATGTTAGTTTGGCTTCTGGTCAAGCACACAGACAAACCTTGACTTATGCAAAACGATGTCAAGAATGATTGAACATCCTCTGTCGTCTCCCCTCCTCCTCTTCCTCCCGTTGTGTTGCAGAGAGATGTACGGTGCCGGCTAACAAACCCGCTGCTAAACCATCCACCGCACCGCAGAAGTCGTGAGTACCTCTCCTCAAACACACACACACACACACATTGAGAATTTCTAAACCTGCTGCTGTTTCTTGAGCCTCAAGGTAAAATTAAACCTGACTCTTGGATGGAATTCACTTGTGGTGGGAAGGGGAAAAGAAAAAAAAAAAAAGGATTGTGTGGATCAGAGCGGGAAAGTGCAGCTACATTAATTTAACCCCAGCCAGCAGCGTATTGCAACACCTCCGTTCGCTCCACATCACTCGCAGAGTGGGATGAGACCGAGAAGGCAGAACCCCTGTGAGCCTTACTGATCCCACGTTTAACCAGTTGAGTTAATTATTCAGTCACACAAGCGGCAAACACCTCGAATGTCAAACATTTCCAGATTTCCAGCGGATTCCGCGTTTCAGTTTTTGTGGATTTTTTCTGTGGGACGTGACTCTAGATGAGTCACGGAAAAGTCACCTTTTCATGGATGATTTTGTTGAGTGTTCACTCCAAAAACACAAAATCCTACCAAGTATTATTGGTCTAGTTCCTGGTGCAAATATCTTAGTACACTTGAAATACGACAAAACTGACTTACAGGTGACTTTTCGGCAGATATAGAAGCTTGTTTCAAGTGGATAACGTCTTAATATGGCACATTGTTTTATTTATAATGTGGGAAAATATTGTTATAAGTGGAAAAAAAATCTGCCTGTGGAACTGGAACTTTTTCAACAATATTTAGGGAATTAATAATGACTTACAACATGCTCCTAAAAAGCTACTTCTAAGATAGTTTTGTCTTTTTCCAATGAACTAAAACATTTACACTAGAAACTGGACCAAAAAAATACTTGGTAAGATTTAGTGGTTTTGTGGCGCAGATATCATTTTCAGAGTTGAATCAAAACAGTCAAGTGGTGATGAAACAGTCTGAAAGTTAAAGCAACGTCAAAAAAAAAATTCAAACTAATTCACTGGAAAAGTTAAAAGTAAGTTTTGACTCTGCCAAATTGTGGCTAATGTGGGTAATGCTAACCAAATGCTAGCCACATGTGGCTAACGTGTTTTGTTGATTTAAAACTGTTTTAAATCAACAAAACAGTCGCTAATTAATTTGGCTTTTGTGTAACGTGATCAATGCAGTTAGTTTAGTTTTTTGATGTTTTTGCAAATGAATTCAGGAAATAAGGCAACAGAAACTTATGAAAATATAATCGTTCTATTTTTAATGGGATTATATTAAATGATTCTTGCTCTGCTCACCAAAAGAAAAAAAAGGTCAATTTTCTGCTTTAAAAAAAAGGAGAAGAAAAAGCTGCTTATTTAATCTGTTTGTTATATTTGCCACTAATAAACACGACGCTTCATTTACTGCAGGCATTAGGTTGCTTATTGTTTATGCTTATGAGCATTTTATGCTCATAAGCATAAAATGCTCACTGTGATGAATGGGTCTACCGCATGTTCATCAGATGTAAATGTTATTTTTCCTGAATCTTTACTCTATTGGAGGAAACACAGTCAACCCTGAAAGCGATGAATTATCTTCATTCAGCGCTGAAGAGCCCGGCTTTGGTTTAGCCAAGATCCGATCACATGACCTTCAGACAGCTGCCTACGAGTGAGTCCATCTTGGTGGCATCAGAAACGCTTCTTGTCTTAAAAAATGACTTTCCACCTGTTGGGAGAGTTTGGCTCTGCGTTCGCAGAGCAAGGCACTAGCGGATCCCAGGGTTACATGTTCACTTCCTGCCGCTGTTTCAGGTGAAAGGATCGCCGCTTTTGGTATTTACCTGCAGCAGGCGAGTGGCTGATGAGGAGAAAACAAGATGTCGGCTGCTTACGGGCGGCGCTGTTGCTGTTTTTGACCCGGACTCTGGGGGGGTTTGTCCACGAACAGCGGGTTCAGGTCAGGGTGGATCTGAGTCAGCCGAGTGCTTTGAGTAGAAACACTCGCTTAAAATTCTGTATGTCTACGACACAGTACCAGGGCTATAGTAAGAAAAAATAAAAACGTAAAAGTAAGAGAGTAAAGTTGAAATAACGAGAATGAAGTCATAATATCATGATAATAAAATGGAAATATTACGAGAATAAATTCAAAATGTCACAAGAATACAGTCAAAATATTGCAAGAATAAGTCCATAGTATTTTGAGCATAAAGACAAAATAATATGACAATAAAGACAATAATTTGAGAACAGTTATACTATTAGGGGGATATATTTATGACTGAGTTATCATAACATTTTGACCTTATTCTCGTACTATTATGACTTTGTTCTGAAGTCTTTATTCTTTATTTAGGTGATATTGTACTGCTGTAGTTTTTTTTTTATTTCATTGTTTTATTTTCTTAGTGTAACAGTCCTATAGTGTATGAGCTGTTGTAGTTTGCTAGAGGAGTTAATCGATGCATCTCCTGTTGTGTGGCATCACTTTGCTGAAATAAATGATCTCTTTGCTGAGAACGCTGGTTAAAAACATTATTGTCAAACAGTGGAAACAGTTTGATCCAAACATGATGTGAGTCATGATTCAGCCACAGAGCTCAGTGTTTTCTGCTGGGTCTTTTGATGTGACAAACCAAAATGTCATGGCTCACGTCAACTATTTCGAAGGAATACGGTTTGCCTCCAAAATAGTTGACGTGATCCAAACTACGGCCACAGACCTCAGTTTTTCTGTTGCGTCTTTATGTGGCGGGCCGACGTTAGAACCCAAACCGTAACTGTGAGCAGAAAGCAGCTGCACGTCTTTCTGGTTTCTGACTGCAGCAGCTTTTCAGGTCTGGAGACGAGCGTGTTCACAGCATGACGCTTCCATCACCGTGTTTTAGTGTCGTGGGTGATGTGCTGTGCTGGTTTTCCTCCACAAACAGGATATTGGACTCAAGCCCAAAAGTTTGTCTTTATAAATATTTTAGTACATCTGAAATAAAAAAATAAAAATCCCTCACTTACAAGTAACTTTTCAGCTTGATACGAGAGCTTGTTTTTGGTAAATAATTCCTTAATATTGATGAAAAGGTAACAGTTCAATTGTCAGATTATTTCCCTAATAAGACATTTTTCCCATGTTACAGGTGAAACAATCTGCATGTGGAACTAGTGCTTTTTCATCAATATTAAGGTATTATTTACCAAACACAAGCTCCATCATGCTGAAAAGTTACTTGTGGCAATTATATCTTTGCACTAGAAACTCGACTAAAACACTTTGTAGGATTTTGTATTTTTGCAGTGCAGTTATGGTAAAGGTTCGCACTGAATTTAAATTTCGGGAATGAAAAATTCAGAACACAAATGCACACCGCAGTCTTCAGATTTTTATTGGTAAAGGATCATCATTTACATTCCACTTCACAACTTTGCAACATTTTCCGTCATTGGAGGGGAATTTAAAAATTTGGCAATCTCCATGAAGTAAATACTGACTAGATATTACTCATTCTTTGTATATTTTTGAAAAAGTGGTTAAATATTCTTACTTTCCTTTTCACCTGTAAAGCCAGTGTTAGCCAGTAAATCCTCAGAAGTCCTTTAAAGATTTATTTTTTTAAATAAAAAAAGGAGCTTTTGCTTTGAAAACCTCGGGCAGCAACCATTTAAATTGGCAGCTGAAAAGCGACCAGAGGCGTCCGCGTTTGAAGCGGCCAAATTAGAGCCGCGAGCCGCGTGTTCGGCTTCGCAGTCCGTCCTTGAAGCCAGTCGATTCATTCTGTACTCGGCCAGATCTGCCTCTGAAAGTTTCTGCTCGGGAATCATTTAATTCCTGGGCGTCTTTTTTTGACGCGTTCTGTGAGGCAGATTTTTTAAATGTATTTATTTATTTTCCCCCCTCGTTGCTCACCTCGCAGTAGTGAGAGGCTCCACGTCACGTTTTAGCTCTTCGGTCCTTAACGGTTTTAAATCTGACTGCGTCTGTCCCCAGCAGCGCTGATTCCCTCTTCCTGGGTGTATTCATGTCCTCGCCACCGACCCGCCTGCCTCTCTCGCTTCCCCGTCTCTTCCCGGCCATTATCGTCTCCATCGCGCTCGCTATCGCTCTCTCTCCATCTGTCCCTCCTTTTACGAAATGAAATATGAATCCATTATTCATCCATTCAAACATATCTATCATTGCCCCTTACATAGTGCAGATTTTTTTCCCCTCTCTTCCTACTCCTCCTCAATGTGCTTCAGTTTTTTTATTTTTTGTATTTTTTAGCGTTTCAGGTACTGACAAGAGCGGTTCGTCAGGCAGTAAAAATCCCTTCAGGGGATTCTCCTGTCATAACAATAGCAGCGCCAGCTCAAAATAAAAGGGGCCAGTGTGTAGGTGTTGAGTGGGGGGGCGTGTGTGTGAAATGCTGCAGCAACTCGCTGGTCCACATACACACCTGAACCTGTGAGCTAACGAGCAGATGAGGCTAATAGTGAGGTTGTGTTGTGTTTTTTCCTTTCTGAGAGATTAAAACACACAAAAAAATAATAATATCAGAAGTAGTGTTGGAACTCGATTCAAATTGTTAATCGAGCTAATTGTAAGATTGCTAATTAACCGCATTTTAATCAAAAACCTTGACGACAAAAGAAGCAATGTTTTAAATTTTAAAAGCCTTTTGTGCTGCCAAATTATTGAATAAATAGACATGTTTATATGGCTTTAAATCTGTTTGGGTAATTCAAACAACAGACTGGACTGTCAGCAACTTTAGCAACGTCATTATATTTATTGAATTTTTGTAACACAAAGCAAGTGATACATTTGACGTCAGATTTACATTAAACGACTTAATCCACAAGGTAAACTAATCTAAATAATAAAGGAACAGCAAAAAGATAACAAAAAAAAACAATAAAAGGAAGACTTAGTCATCTGTTTCACTCTCTTAGTTCATAGTGTTTCAGAAACTTTGTGAACTTGGTGACCATGTTTCTTCAAAATGTTAGTTACTTTAGTGACGATAGCAACATTAGCCATGTGTGCCAGGTTAGCATTGGGGACATCTCAATGCTACATGGTTAGCATTGGGATGCTATTTTAGAGCTGAATAGTTTCAGGTATAAACTAACTCCTTGTAGCACATCTTGAACATAACAGGAGCCTTTTCCAACGTACAATCAGATCATGTTTTTGAAGTAAAAATGAACCCACTGTGGGCTAAGAAAAGCAGCTTTGTCATCCATCACTGTTGTCTGCTGACACTGTCTGTGCATCAGATTTACGGGCGTACCAGAAATGCGCAAATACAAAGGTTCCGGCTCTGGATTTTTGCGTAAAATAAAAGACAATCACATTAATTGTGTCAAAATGTTCGACACGTATGTACTATGTACTTAATTGAAATGAACGCATTAAAGTCTCAGCCCTAAGTAGAAGTAAATGGGGCGTCCAGGTGAAAAACAATCCTCTTTGTGTCTGTTCACTAAAACCTGAGCATCTGGTAGGATTTTCCTTCATCCTTCTTCCCCAACATGAGTCACCAGCACCGTTTCAGCAGTGTAATCCATCCGTTAACTGGAAAGAGTCTTCAAAGGGAACAACATACGGTCATGGCTGCGGTAACCCATCTGCCCCTGTGTGTGTGTGTGTGTGTGTGTGTGTGTGTGTGCGCGCGCGCAGGATGCTGGAGGATGACCTGAAGATCAGCAGTGATGAAGAAGAAGCTGAACAACAGGTGAGGTTGCTCTGCAGTTTATCTTCAAGTTTTGTCGCTATTATTCACGTTACTATTGTGATAACAATAAAAATGACCATAAAATTTATTTACAACTTCTCTATTTTTAACTGTGTGACTGTGGCTGTGTGTCACGGTGATAACAGCCCCACAAACACAAATGCTGCTTTTGAAAAACATTCCCTTTTGTAATATTCTTCTATAGGACACCAGTCACATGAAGAAGTGTGATTTGCATCACTACACATATTAGCTATATTTAATCGTATTTTCAAATGTATTGATGTTTATTGATTTTTTTCATCAAACTGTGGAGAAAACATTAAAAATAACAATACGGACAGTTTTGTAGGTCGCGGTTTGCTTATGTAAAGTGACACATAAGCGCACGCTGAACAGCAACGCATGATAGACTTTAAAAATAATACACATTAAAAACCACTTACCACTTTCCTTCTGCCTCAGAATTCTGCATTACAGAAACATCTGTCATTAGTTTGCTTTAGTCGAGCTCTGATTCATTTGCCTAGAAGGTTTCAGTTTGTTTGAGGAGGTGTGACCAAAAAACTGAACTCTGGTGCGGTTCAAATGCATATGTGAACACCAAGAGGACCAGAAGTCGCTTTAAAAGCAGGAAGCGGACCACAGCGCAGGGCATTCTGGGTAAATAAAACCAATATAAACGTGTGTATCTAGCACTTGTGGGGAGAAATGGATCATGATGCTTTTCCAAAGACAAAAGAGAAATCCTACAACCACTAAAATCTGACACCGCTCCATCTTTGTTTTCATTTCGTGAAGGAGGAAGTTGCGCTCAGCAGCGTCTTCACATGTTTTCATGTTGCTTCCTTCAATGGTTCTTGATGCGGCGCCACCACAGGCGAGGAGGGGAACAGGTTTTTAGAAGGGTTTGGTCGGTTTGACACAGGTCAGTGTGAGAGAGACGCACAGCAGCTGAAAGTGGAACAAATATTGCAACTTTTGTTCCCAACTGAACCGAATCTCCCGGAATACCAGGCGTTAAAACGCCTTTAAAACCCCAACAAGATCCACTGAAGCTTGTGTTTGTACAAGTTCAAGAGACACTAACACCATATTCAACGAAACATCAGGTAAATATCTTTTAAAAATGGCAATAAATACACTTTCATAATTATTTACTTATTTTTTTCTGACAAATCGAAATTGGGACTTTTCAAATCAGCCCCGTTCACAACTTAAAGGGTACGGGGTCAAACGGCTGCTCTGCTTCTAACTAAAGTCAACATATAGAGCTGGAGGAAGCGGCCCTGATGCCATCTGAACACGTAACCTCTCTGCTCCGGAGTCGGACGCATTACTGCAGCGCCACGAGGTCGGCCAGGCAGCCTGGCAGGGGAAACGCTCAGATCCTTTACTCAGTTCCCAGTAAAGCCTGGAATCCATCGGAGACCTTTTCTTCTTTTTATTTTTTTAATGAGATCAAACTAGCTGCTGCTGCTGCTGCTGCTGCTGAGATCTCCGAGCACGGCAGTCTTCAAATGTCATGTTTGTTTATTGCGTCTGTGCTCTCCAGATCGAATTATAGAAGCATTTCAAGGATCATCGATAAAAGTGCGACTAACAGAAGACTAATTAGGAGTGTCACAGAAAAGTCTGGATTCCTAAATGAATGGGAAGTCTGGAGGACGGCTGTCATGGTGGCAGGCACAAACTCTCCAAGGAGTTTTTTTTTTCCTTTTCTTTTTTTGTTCCTTTTTGTGGTTGTTTAGCAACAGCATCATGAGAATGCAAGTGGTAGTCTGTTATACACCAGCTCCAGTAAGGAAACATAGAAAGCGCTCATTACTGTCCGACATGCATGAAGTCATTTGACAATAACTGAGTCACAATTTTCCATACTTTTGATCAGGTGATTAATTGTACATTTCAAATCACACAAATGAAAATTATTGCTGTCGTTTTAATTCATTTTGTGATTAATTGATTCATTGCTTATGGCGACAGGCCTACTATTACTGAGGCAGGCATCATTTCTGCTCCACTTCTGACCAGCATCGTTAGCCGGATGCACACAGACATCCAGCAGCTTGTTCTTGTGGAAAACAAAGCCACAGTGAATGGAAGTAGCTAAAAGTCTCACTTTTTCACACTCTATCAGTCACCTTTATTTGTGGCGTAACTTCAGTGCCGTTTTAGTTTAGTTTTGGGAAAAGGCCCTAGCTTTAACGTGTTTGAATCTGGAAGAGTGCGTCCCTGTCTGCTTAACACTTTGTCGCGTTTTATTTTATTTTTCCCCGTAGAAGCTGTGACGTAATCGTGTTCGGTCCGTGTCCGCTGACTAAAGAATTCAGATTTGTCACTGCGGGGCACGTTGAACATGGACGTTGAACGTTGAACGTTGTCCTCTTATTTTTTATTTTTTGTCTTTTTTTCTTTCCCATATGAAAATTGGCAGTGTGGCCTTCTCTTTGCTAATCACTGTCATCACGCGCTAATGATGCCAGAGATGAGTTCAAAGCAGTCAGTGGGGTCCGTGCTTCGGTTCCCTCCCCCACTGTGCAGACGGATATCAGCGCTCATCAAAGAGTCCGCCAGATATTCTCCGTTAATGAAAAGATACAGATTCCTCTCATCCCCTTTTAACTCCCCGTTTGATTATATAATTACAACCGGGGTAAGACATAATAATTATAAACGATGGCAGGTCATTTATAGTGGTTTTAGTTGTTGTAATTATACCGAAATGAGATCTTTTAATCACAGATATTTAGTGTGCGTTCAGAAGCACGCCCCGGCGTTGAATTACTCCTGGCGTGGCGAGGAGCCGGGATGAGAAAGGAAGCGCGTTATTAATTTATTGTCTCCATGCATATATTCATTTATTTTTGCCGTCTTTAAAGGCACTGCGAGTTCTTCGCCAGTTAAACATGTACTTTATTTAAGTAATACTAAATGTCAGTGTTAATAATGTAAACTTCACGTTGCCGCGTTCCAATCAGGCACTTTTTGTCCCCGACGCCAATCTGGGTCATTTCAGAACAGGAAGTTAGAGACGCTAACAAAGTCCATGCCTGATACTTTAAGATCAAAGCCATGGACACAGTGCTCTGAATTCACACACTAAATTTCACCAGTTTATATTAATACTGTGATTCTATTCTATTTACCTCAATTACCAGTTATGTTGCTTATTCACTAAAGCATCTATTTAAATCACCCAGAGCATTATTTATCATTTCTTTGGAAATAAATATGATAAAAACCACATTATATATCCAAAATAATAGTTGTTTAGTTGTTTCCTGTTTTAGGTCAATCAGGATTAACAAAGTTATTTATTTTTTCTAGATGCCATAATAATGTACAAGGTTCATATTTTAGCTGAAATCACAGCTGTTTGTTGGTCACACTATATTGATTTTAGTTGAAAAGTAAAAATCAAAACACTGACTGTGGTGTTTGGTGGTTTTTCAGAGGAAGATTTTCTATTGCTTTATAACAAGATTCTTAGGGAGAAAAACTTTTTAGCGATTGCATATTTCTTAAAACTTCCACCATGTTGTGACAGTCTGTGAACAGGTCGACCTCCTCCTCCATCTCCTCAGCGTGCTAATGGAGGAGAAACAACTCACCGTTACAGGAAAACTGTTTATCCGGCATCATCTGTAGCTATGCTAAGGCTACGCTAACTAGCGTTAGCATTCAGTCTCTGAAGAGGGTGACGTCACATCAGAGCCTGTTGATTTTCCTGAAAAGATTTTAACATAAAAACACATTTCTTTGTTTTATTTTGAAAATATACATATAGACAGAGAAATGAAAGACTTTACTTCATTATATCTTTTTCAGAAAGTTGAACTTTTTCTTTTTATTTCTCAACCAGAAATAAAGTAGTTTTACCTTTTTTTTTCTTCTTTTTTTTACCATTGATCTCTGATGAAGACAGGGACTGGGAACGATTTTGGGAAAAGCAGCACAACGTGTGGAAGAAAAAAGAAAGAATGATGGGAGCGACAGATATCTCGAGATAAAGACAGACGAAAGAAAAGCAGCAGGCTGAACGACGGCGATGATGAAAAGCGTAGGGCCCGAGATGAATTCAGCGCCATTTATCTGTGGACGCCGCTAACAGGCTTATAGCAAATGAGTGCATGGCGTATTATCAAGCTTTATAGCCCCAAGTAAAAACACAAAAAACACATTCGTAATCAAACACATGGACGGCCATGTATTACACACATGCACCCACAGAGAAGCGCATGCAGCCGTGTAAGGCTCCACTCCCAAGAATTTATGGCAACAAACACATAAACACACTCTGACAGTGTGTCCCTCACACACATACACACACAGATGCACACTATCATTAGTATGCTGTGGCAGAGCGCGGTGAGGGCAGCAGAGGAGGATGATGAATATGTTTTTGGCAAAGAGCAAAAGAGACGGAGGAGAGGAGGGAATTGGAAGACGGCGCGCAGGAAGGAGAGATGGAGGAGAGAGGGAAAAGGCGCGGCGACGGAAAGTGGAAAGCGGCGCCTAATGACTACAGAAACTGACAGGAAACAACAAGCCAATTTACCAGTGCGGCTCTGTCCTTTGTCCCTGACCGATCCCCGTGGTCCGAGCTAAGTCGAGCTCAAAAGGTTCCGTCTTCTTATGAAAACGTCCGACTCACCCAAATTTGAGCGAGGTCGAGTTTGTCAAGTAAAAACGACAAAAAAATAAAAGGACGTATTCTGAGGTGTTCTCATATTTCTTTTTTTTTCCTTTTGCAGTGTGTGTGCTGTTTGCCTGACATGTAACATTCAGCAGGAGAGCTAGTCGGAGGAGAGTTTGCTTTGGGAAAGTGTCAGATGAAGGAAGGGTGGTAGAAACATCCGGGGATCTCAGTCTGGTCAGCTTATCTCAGGCTATTTACAAAATACTACAATAAAAGTCACCTGGAGGCCCTTTGCAGAGGGCCGTCCAATTCAGTCAAATCTATTCAGTTTTGGTCCAGTGTGGAATGAGTGATACGACAGGAAGTGAGGACAGCTGCAGACGCAGCAGGGAGTGCGCAGCTGGAGCGCGGGGGCTTCCAGAGACCGTCTGATCAGAGAAACTCCTCACTCAGCAGAATCTGATCCTGGTAACATTCACAACAGCTTATATTTGAAGCACTGAACGTATGTGAAGTGCCTGCATCAGGATGATGAGCGGATGACGTCTACACGTCAGACACGTTGCTCTGGGGAATACCGGGACTTGTAAGCCACGCCCCTTTTGGTTCCACAGTCAGCTGCGTGCTCTGAATGCACACAGGACCCGTCTTTGGAAGTATGGGCCACACAAAGACCACATGGGAACATTTTAAACGTTTGGGCCTCTTATCCAACGATGGATGGATGGATGGACGAGATGTGAAATAACCCTTATAACTTTTGTTATCCTCACAGTGCTTAGAGATAATCCATATCTTATCTGTGGCCTTTTTCCCTAAATTATATATGAAACCTTGCCACAAAAGAAAGAGCATGTAACTTTTATAAAGAAAAAAAAAATAAAAATTGATATATTTGTTAAAATGCCCTGATGGATAAGCCAAGAAAAGATCAGTCTCCTGCATCTCCTCCCCTACTATAGCCATCTGAAGAAATGTATCACTTCGGACCAGAAATAACCACTCAGAACCAGGGGGAGGGCCTTAGCGCTGTCAATCAACACAACAGTCATGCTGCTAAACCTGCTTATGGTGGAGAAACAACTTGGCATTCCAGAAAAACCGTTTATCCTCTGTCATCTTTTAGATATGTTCCTTGTCCTACACACCTGAATTAAATGGCTAACCTGCCTCACTAGCAAACAGTCGTACTCTACAGAGCTCTGCTAATGAGCTAACATTGGAGCCAAGTGTGCTGAAGCAGAGAGACATCTAAAAGTTCCAGGACTCCTAACCTTGAGGAATGGAGTTTGAGGCCTCCGACTTAAAGGATCTGCTGCTACCATCTTGGTACCTGATGCTAAGAGTCCAAGCCGCAACCGGTCAGTAATGTTTGGCATCAAAACTGCAAGCAACACACCACCGGCGACGTTCAGTCCAACAAATCACATCGAATCCGGATCGCTGCCACTGAAAATTTCCCTAAATTGTGGCAATATCCTAAAGCGAAGATTTGGTCGCTGTTGTACTTTCAGCCAGGGAGCAAGAGTTGCATCAGGAGAACAGATTTCATACTCGGTGTTCAGGTGTTAGCGCCGCTTTATGGAGTCTCTCATGCTGAAACAAACCGTGAGGACAAGCACTGAATTTATTGTCTGGTTTCTGTTTAAGACATTGTGGGCGTCTTGTTAAGTCTTCACCGCCAGGCCTGCTGTGAAACACCGGGACGTCTGGCACCCACATAAAAATAGGGAATCGTATGGGTCTCATAGCTCTTTAAGCTCTCTTTTAGCTTTTGTTTTTTGTTTTTTTCTTTCTCCTCTTCCCTTTTGTCGGGAACGACACTTCCAGCCGCTCTCCGACGGCAGAGACTCCGCGTCTGAACACCGGCTGGGTTGTGCTTTATTTAAATCCAAGCCAAGCCACCAGCCGGGTTAATATATTCACACATAGATCTTCTCTGCGAGCTTCCCTCAAGCCTCCAAAAGCCAAAGATCTGAGGAGGCTTGTTGTTGTAGCCTGCAGCTCTGCATCGATCTCCCAGAAACTTCACTGGTTCAGTTAATCACCTTATTCCTAGAGAGGGCAGGAAACAACAAGCCGGAAAGGAGAAAATGTCCTTTTTTTTTCTTTTTCTTTTTGGTGTTCAGTAATTCATTTTAATTGCTGAGCAATAGTCCTGGAAGAGAAAACACCGGCTTGACATTTGGAGAAATTGGGTTTTCTTTTGTTCGTTTGTTCGTTCGGTTCTGTTTTGTTTGGGTTTTTTCTTTTGTAATTTTCCTGAAAGGGACAAAAGTTGAAAAGGGAGGAATGGAGAGTAAATTAGTTTAATATCTGCAGACTATGCTGAGTCGTCTTAGTTTTATTTTTCTGTATGTTTTTAAATCTGTTTTTATATACATTTCCACAGCACCAAATAAACACAGGTTAGTGTCACTGCATTGCAAGTCATACCAAAATCTTTTGTCAAATCAACACTATTTGACAGATACCCTGAGTTTTCTGTACTATGCTACTGCTGTTAGCCTAGCAAGTAGCATCACACAAATGTATAGTTTTAATTACTATAAGCACCAATAACTTCATAGAACAAATAAATACAATTTTACGCATAACTGAAAAGCATACATACATGTTATGTAATAAATAAATTATGAAGTGCACAAATAGATTGAAAATCACATGGTTTAAATGCATCAGTCAGACATATAAACAAAGCCTGAGTGTCTAAATCTCTCTTTCCGTGTCTGCGTCCTTACAGGTGTCTGACAAGACCAAAGCCAGAAGCGCAGCGCTGAGGTAAGACGAGCAGTTCCTCTCCGTGACGGGGGTTGTTTTTTTTCTTTCACCCCTTTAAATGTGTTGCGTTGTGTTTGTTGGCTGAGAGAAATGTTAGTGAAAACCACATTTGGTCTGAATGAGGACAAGCTGTTTCAGCCAAGAAAAGAAGCTATAAATAAATGTTCTCTGGCCCGAAACGCACAGTTGCAGCAGTCGGATCGGTTCTGGATGAATCCCTGGACGTTTCTTTAACGTAGTTGTTTTCCGAAAGCGCCGTTAAGGTCAGAGACGTCACAGTGACCGTAGAGCATCCGACAAGCCGGTCGCAGCGGCGCACGCAGACGTTGAGTTAAATCCGAAAGATGGAGCGGGGTAAGAGTGGTTCATTTTTTAGGGTTTGGAATATTTCAAGGTTATCGCAGCCGCGGTTAAAGCGCCCGAGTTTTAATTGACTGAAGCATCTGTGATGACAGGTGACCACACGATGACCCCAGTCAGCCGCCTGCACTCACTCCTCAGCTCCGCAACGTTCGATTTTTAAGGCTGCACACGTCTGACACGCTCAGTAGTTGTGATACCTTTTAATTTTTTTTTTTTTTATTTTTTTTTTAAGGTTTTCTGCATTGTAACTCAAAGGAAAAATTCTTCGCACATATATGCTCTGTTTTCTTCTGCTACAACATGGAGTCATTACTTAAATCTAAATCTGAGTTGCTGCAGAAAAGTAATGCTGTCTTAATACTGATGAGAAGACGCCATGTTTATGATATTAAAATCCAACAATCATTGTCATTAAAAAGAAGAAAAAATCACCTCTGTGCTTTACAAGGACAGATCTCCTAATAAAAAATAAGTGGGACTTAAAATTTATGTCGATGGAGGAACATGCAGATGCATCCTCTGAGGTTATGAAGGTGAAGACAACTCCGCGTTTTGTTTCAGGAAGGGAGCAGGTGTCACAGAAATCTCCTGGAGCCAACATGCTATGAATGTAGCTAAGCAGCTTGATTTCCCTTGAGAACTTTCTCCATGACTCTCCAAACTAATTTTTAAGAATTGGAAACTGATTCCCTAGGAGAGATCTTTTTAAAAAATAAATCATGGGTTTACTTGTGTTTTTTTTTTTTTTACATCAATGACAAATAGACCCAATAAGCCCAAGCCCACTCTGGGTGTCTGCTTATGGACTACTTCATATCTGTCTGACTTTGTTTCTATTGACTTGATTGGCACACAGCTCAGCTGTTAAAGCATTTTTGATTGGAATTTAACAGAATAGTGCAGCTGAAGCAGAATCTTATTTCCTGTTTGTAGGAACAATCAAAGTAAATGTGATTATTAGATAGATAGATAGATAGATAGATAGATAGATAGATAGATAGATAGCCTTGTTGTTAGCTAGCTAAACAGATATATAGCCTTATAGATAGCTAGCTGGTTAGATAACCAGATAAATAGATACTTTTGTTCTGACTTTAACTGTTCAGGATAAAAGTCACCGTATTGGTGGAAGAACGTTGACGATGATCTGACTAGGTCTATTTGTGTTGGACTTTTAGGAGCCGCTGTGCAAGAGTCAATGCGTTGTGTGTGTTACAAGTGGAAACCAGAAGTGACTGCAGCTCACAGGCGACAGCAGAAGTTACAGTGTCATCATTAACGACTTCTCTGCTGGTGCTGAAAGCCTTCATGTTAAGCATTCAGCTCTGTGTGGGCAGCTCATGATTATCTGCTGGTTAGGTGTTAATATCTGGAAGGAAACATCGCCCGCTTTATCATCGCCCAGGATCTCGCTTTTAAATAAAACAACAACTGTGGATGAATTCTGCAGATGACTTGGTTGAGTTTTTTTATTGTTCTCTTTTTCCTTAGACATTTTCTAAAGCCCTGACTGATTAAACTATCCAGATTTTTATTTTATTTTTTTTTAAATAAACGAGGCGATCTGTGTTTACGGTCTGAATGCATTAGTATGCCAGTCTGGAGTGTGTCTGTATGTGAGTATTGGGGAAAAGAGGGAGTGTGGGGGGGTTATAGGGAGAAAGTGAGTGTGCTCTGTGTCTGTGTGTGCCCCGGGCCATGTGTTACTCTGCTACCGCTAATGAGCCCATTCACTCTGCAGCCCAATCTACTGAGCAGCACACACACACACACACACACAGACTGCAGGGACTCTGGGACTGGAGACGCTGCAAGCGATCCACTGGCTTTATCCCCCACGGACGGCAGCGCTCGCTGTTTAACCCACAATTCTCACACCGCCCTTACAAACACACATCCTTATTTTAACCTGGCGCTGACAGCAGCCTCATCCATATACCAACAGACTCACACATACATGTTATCACACCGCCATGATCTTTTGTCGAGGGAAAGTGCCCGCAGTGACGGGGATTTGTCTCTTTTAGACTTCTTGTTACTACGCTGAGAGCTCCGCCTAGCTCCCGGGGTTTTTTTGGATTTTCATAGCCGACGTAAGCGGTGACGCAAACCTGCTCAGACATGAGCGGATCGATGCGCTCCGACGAAGTAAAGCTCATCAAAGATGAATGCGCTCGCATTCGGGATGGATCAGACGTGGAAACAGGTTGCCGAGGAAGGGCCGTCAGGTCTGCACTCTATGGTCGCAGAGGAGGAATCCACGGATAGTTAGGCGGGAAAGAGATGCATTTTTTTCCCCACTGCTAATAACTACTCTGCTCTCTTTCTCAACTCTGACGCTCTCATATAAGATTCACTCTGCGGTCAGAGCAAATCCTTCATGGTTGAACAGAAGGCAGCTAGATTTATTTTCTCTTTTTTTTGGCTTTTTGAAAGTATGTCAATACACTGAAAGGCATTTCTCAGAGCGAATCGTTTCTGACTGGCCGAGGTAAACCAGACGGCCTGAGTGGATTTACAGAGCCTCGCAAAAGTATTCAGAACTCTTCAGCATTTCTTTTTTTTTATTTCATGCCCAACACAATTTTATATTGATATTTTTAAACAATAAAGACAAAATAGTGCATTGAAGACAAGTGGAATAAAAGGTGTTGTAGTAATGAAGCCAAACGGGAAGTTTTTCATCTGAGAATAGTGTGAGACTTTTTAGTACATTTATTGAATTTGGACTAAACTCTCAAAATGGGAATTAAGATTGTTATCTTTAAGAGCCTCCTTTCTAAGAATGTGGAAATTGTGTATGGGAATTGTCATGAAATTCTTGCTCTAGAAATATTTTGGGAATTTTTGTAGAAACTTTAGATTTTTATATGAATTTTTAAATGCGTATTTTATGGTGTCATGCAGCCGTAACTCATCATAGGCTTCTGCAAGCAAGTTAAAATCAGAAAAATGATTTAACATTAAACGGTGCTAACCCATCATCATTACATGTTGGGTCTGTGGGGGGCCTGAAGTGGCATATTGGGAGGGCTTGGAACCTTTTTATAACTTTTATGACCTTTTTATAGTACAGTGAATATAACTGTAAGTAGACAATTTAAGAATTTTAAGTAAAAACTATTTATTTCATTAAGTTTGTGTGGTGCAATTCCTTGGGCAGAAATAAATGTCAATTAAAGCCCAGGAGTTCCCACTGGATAGAAATGATTGGTTATTCAGTATGATTACTGATGAAAAGAATTACATCCTACTTTATCATTTTGAGTTGACAGTATACAGAAATAAGTCTAATACAATTGAAAAATGATTTAAATTTTCTAAAAAATAAAAAGAAAGAAAAATCAACATACTAATATGCAAAACTACACAGTCTTTTTTTTTAGTGTGTGTTTTGACGTGTGTGTGTCACTTCATGTTTACACTGAGAGACGACAGAAACGTACGGACAACCAAAGTTCCTACAAAACTCCAACTTATAAAGAGTATAGTAAGGTTTACATCACAAAATATGTGTGTGGGAGTTTTAGCAATTCAATAAGTGTCACTGATGTAGTTTTAAGAAAAGCTGACTGTGAACACAAAAATACAATCACTTCAGTTTTCAGATCACAGTAGATGAAAGAAGCCTTCCTGTTCCGTCAGACTGAACTAAATCATTTCTTAAATCCAGATGCCGCTCCATCGAGGCTATCCACATGTAGCGACCGTGACGATGCTACAACATGGCACATGTCATGAGGAATTCTCTTTAAGTCATACATCTTTGGTCTGCTGAAGTGAAAACCAACCCAGCCAGTCAGAATGTAACCGTATTCCCACTTCTGCCGTTCCTTGAATTAGGAATCCTCTGGATCCAGTCGTACTCTAATCTGGCTTGTTATGAATTCCCTGTCTGCCGGAAAGGAAAACCAACAGTTTTGATAGCAGGATCTAGTTTTCCTCACAGCTATTTAAAGTAGATGTGGCAAAAACATCCAGTTCTGTCTGTTCTGGGAGCTGAGTCAGAGACGGGAAAGGAGATGACACACCAAACAAGAACCGAGCCCAGCTGGGCTAACCAAACCCAGACCCAAATTCATTTGACATATTCTTTGATCTCAGATCCACAGTCACTTTATTTTGGTAAATCAACATCACAAAAAAACAAAAACAGAACAAAATACATCTTTACAGACCAATAATTTACCAAAAACAAGTCTGAAGCCGTCCTGGACTCAGCAGCCAGCAGGAATGAAAGATATCTACTGTTCATGAACAGATTTATATGTAAATATGCATCTACATATATATAATAACATTCACAAATGGCTGCGCAATACACATATATCTACATACCAGTAGCTTTTGTAATTTTAAAGCTCACCGGAAATAAAATAACTTGCAATCATCATTCAATTATTCCACAGTTTTACACCAATAACTTAGTTTTCTCTTTCTTTCAAATATTAACAAACCTTGGAAGTTATATTTACGCTCTCAGATAATTTCTGAATTGCAAAAGGAAAGCTTTTGTTCAAAGCTTAATGCACTATTGCCAGCTTTTTTATACATACAATGTCTTTGAATTTTAAAATCTTATTTTAAATAAAATGTTTACTAATGAGCCTAATAGCTATTTTCTTTTTGGTAACTTA